ACGTTCAGTACGAAAGATCCTGTAAGTGACTATCTACAGCTTTGTTTCTAGATGAGGAAGGCGCGAATGATCATGTACTACATGAAGACATTTTGGGTGCTCTTGTGGCCGTTGGCCTTGGTGGTCGAGTCTTTCAGTGGATTTCGAGTTACCTGGCAGCAAGATCATTTGTGTTACAGAAGATGGCCCAGCTACGCGACGCTATACTTCCAGGTGTGTTCCTCAAGGCAGAGTTCCTGGCCTAACGCTATTTAATCTTGCAATAATTGGCTTTGTGGAATACTTTCCTAGTTTGATTAAAATGTAAATATACGCAGACGACATCTGTATCTGGAAATAGTTTGTCACACATTCTCACATACGTTCCCGGCTTCAAAAAGCAGCAACTATGATTGCTAACTACTTGTTAAAACAATATCTCAGCATATCACCAGAAAAATGCACGCTGGTGGCCTTCACTCGCAAAGCAATGACCCTTTCTGTCGTCTTAATCTGCGAGCGACCCATTTCTAACACCAGAACCCACCGGTTTGTGGGCCTCAATTTTGATAGGGACCTCTGTTGGAGTCCACATGTGGCCTATATGAAGAAGCACCCGGCCGCTATTTCCTAATTGTTCAAGTTCCTGACAGGCAAGACGTAGGGGATGTCAATAGATGCAATGAAGGAACTCTACAGTGCCCTGTTTTTTGGTTTCCTGAGATATAGCTTGCCCGTGTTTAGCAATACCTGCGCGACCAATGTTCGTGTTCTACAGGCAGTACAAGCCCAAGCTCTGAGAGTGTGCCTTGGTCTGCCCATATGTACGTCAACAGAAGCAACAATTCCGATTGCTGGTGACTATTCGATACAAACTCACATTGCTGTAGAAGTTCTGAGACCGCACATCAGACACTTCACACAGGCTCCCTGTCATCACCTTGCAGTGTTGCCGTCAGATAGGCGCCAAGCATCGTTCTCTAAAATGATTGTGAAGTACAACGAGAAACTTCCCTCGGGCTTCACTCCTTTATCTAAACCATTGATACCTCCTTGGTGTCTTATTCGACCCACAGAGAATCTTGGTGTATCAGGAATCCGGAGGAAACCTGAGCTTTCATCGCCCGCGCTGAAACAACTGTCTATTCTTCTCTGGCACGAGAAATATTCAGACAGTGTACATATATACCGATGGCTCCACAAATCGCCAGTGTTCGTCAGGTGCAGAAGTTGTCCTAGCAAGAGGTGTTACAATCAGCCTTAGGACTGACCACTCCACGGCATCTACCTCAGCGGAACTAGCTGCTTTGCGCGCTGCACTTTGTATGGTCAATCGGGAACCACCGCAACAATGGCCGATTTTCAGCTACTCAAGGGCTGCCCTTCAATATGTGCTCTCAGAACTGCGTCGCGGGCAGTGGGAACAGCTTGTTTTCGAATTCCGATGCCTTCTCCACACTTCACACGAGAAAGGGCATCATGTGACGTTTCAGTGGCTTCTAAGTCACTGCGGCGTCACAGGGAAGGAACATGCCGATACTGCCGTGCGGGAAGCTCTTGAAGGAACACGAGAAGAAGCCATACCACATTCGCAGACTGATGCAGCCAGTAATGTTCGACGACTGGCGCGTGAAAACACGTTTTCTCTATGGTGCCTACCAAACAACGAGACGAATCATCAACATCACCGGTCCTCTTTGATGGCTCTCCGCATGCCCACTGGCCTCGACCGAAGAGAAGCCAGCCTTCTTCATCGCTTATGGCTAGGAGTGGCATTTACAAAATCTTGTTCGTTTGTAATGGGAATGGCCGACAACGCTCTCTGCGATGCCTCTCATTGAGAAGAGACGCTACACCACATCTTGTGCGACTGTCCATTGTATGACATCCAGAGACAGTCCCTGGCGTTCGTTCATGCGCACATCGGCAACAGCCAAATGTCTGTGGACACTATTCTGTCAAGTGCCCGAGAGAAGACATTGCAACAGAAGGCGACAAAGGCTCTGTTGAAATTTATACGCGGCACGGACTTGAACAAGCAGCTGTAACAGCAATGTCACATACCACGAAAGACAAGACTGGACTATGACTGAGCGTTCGCGCGTGTGCTGCCGATTGTGCTGTGTTTATCTCTCTTCGCTTTCTGCTCTCTATTTTTCGTCTCCCCCATCCCCTTCCCATGTGCGGGGTAGCAAACCGGCTGCGTATAGGCTGGTTAACCTCCCTGCCGTTCTTTTTCTCTTATTTTTCAGTTGCGAGGTCGCCCAGGCTGCTGTTTGGTTTGCTGTCATGTATGTTTTTCTTTAGGGAGCACCTTGTCTTGGCAAGGAGCGCATTGATGAAAGAATAACCCTGCAGTTCAAACGACTGGCGTGATTTGTCGTCGCCCAAGCAAAATTGCTTGTTTTCAAACACGGCCATGCTGAATCAAACGTCTCAGCCACAGCCAGTTAATGTTTCTTTGTTTTGTTTTCTGAAAAGACCTTGTGGTTAAGCAAACGAGATATTGGGAAGAGGTGTAGGAATTTTTTTTTGTTATTGACAGCAGCAAAGTAATAGTGCATGCAGTTTTCTGAGACGCTTCTGTTATCAGTGTGACAATAAAATTACACGGTAAAGTAGACAGCAGTTTTAAATACACAAAAAAGCACAGCAATGAAACTGACACCCAACCAAGCAATCTATCTTCACGTGTAGTAAAGGTTGGTGAAAACTAGATACCGTTCAAGGCTTGCCGGTCTCACCAGCGCGGAGTATGAAAGCGGCGAATCGCAGACGGCAGAAAGGTGACCACTACGCAAGAGCCATACAATGTAATTTACTGATCATGACTCGTGCATGAGCTCCTGAGAGCTTGTAGACGCAAACAGCGGCGATTCAGAGCTGGTTGAAGGCAAGTTCGAAGCGGCATCCTTCTTCGACGAAGGACAACACACGTGTTCAGCTGCGTTCTTGCGTACCGAATTTTACTGCCAAATTGGCCACCTGACCAGGCTGCTCACATAAGTGGCTGACGAGATCGGATAAACTTCTAAAGATAAGAGTGTGGACAACCTAAACTTTTTATTGTTACTATGGGAAGAGGTTATCACTTTGTGCATAGCAGCGTCTACCACCGCGTTGGTAGGATGAATCATACATTTCCCGTGCATGTTACTTTTCTGTAGGCATTCTCCGCCTTCTGTAACGCATGCGGACCTGTATACAGTGTAGAAAGTGTTCCCGAACTGCGAAGTTCGCGCTTGTGCCCTCTTTTATATACCAGTATAAAAAAGGACCACTTTCGCATCTGAATCGACCTATGGAATCATACGAGACTTGCTAACTCTATGAACGTACGGAAAGCAGCCAATGCCAAGCCGTGTTTCTCGAGTGGTCCTCTTTAGCCTTGTTTAAATACTTCCCTGCAGTCACTAATTGTTTCTTTTTAACATGGAAGTATTTTTATGCCGGGGTCCGCCACGGCTCCGCTGACGTATTTTCGTAATCCATATGATGTTATAAAAAATATACCAACAGATAGCGAAGCAAAAGAAGTTCCGCTACGGCGCGTCAATGCTAGTGACCTCGCGATTTTGAGCGCGAGCCGCTAACACCTACGGCTTAGAGCGAACGTTCTCAAACTTGTTAATGGCGAGCCATTCACATTTACCACGTACCGCTGATAGTCCTCAGAGCTCAGCAACTTGTGCGTGTTTTCGTCATTCGGAGAGAGGACACGACGGGCGTTGTGCCACCCTACCCCACGCGTCACTATGCGTTCGCCAATCCTCATGCCCTCGTCAAAGTTCGTATAGGTGTTCTCTAGTGGCTTTCTCTCTCGCGCGCTTATTACGCCATTCAGGCGCTTTGGACCTCGTGTGCTTCCACTGCGTTTTGTACGAAATTACAGCAGTTAAAGAGAGCAGGAAAGTCACGTCGCTCGCTGCCGCGGACGCATTCAAGAAAGTGGTGCGCTGCTCACAAACAGAGGAGAAGGAATTTTCATGGTTTAACTGTGCGTTCATTTTGCGCGTGTTTCTTTCTGTTTGAGCAGCGTGATTTAGGTGTCCATCTATGGCAGTGGTTTGTCCGTGGCCATCCTGTATATGCTCATTTCATGCGTGCTTTCTGCTTGCCGTTCATCGCGTGGCACTGCTCTTTGTGGCTGTAGCATTGATTCGTTCGCCAGTGTGGTGCAACAATGCATAAGGAACGCTCAACTATATCCGCAAAGGCACTTTTCCCTTTTGAGTATTACCGAATTCTAAAACCTAAAGAAAGCAATCAGTCACGTGTTTTCTACAACAACACTGAATTTACCATCATTATGAGCCAGCTTTATCTACACTGCAGAACGGAGGTCTCAGCGAACATTCTCCAATGCACCCTGCCTTGCTCGCGGAGCTGTTTCCATTTCATAGCTTCAACTTTCCGAATTCCGTAGATCGACCTAATTTTTTAGAGCCCACACCCTCACTTCCCATCTCTTAGTATTCATTACATTGTTTCAGCTAACCATCTGTTGACCGTCCTCATGACGTTAACTCTTGAGGTCCATTTTTTCCTTCATTTTAATTTTCTAATAGGACGATAATATCTCTTTTTTTTTCACTGATACACTTCGCCTTTCTTTCCCCAACACAACAGAGAAAACTTCTACGCTCTATATCTAGGAACAACTACCTCAATCCCGTTCGTCGATAACGCTAAACATGGTTGCTATTTTAGACCGGACTAAGCTACAGACGCTTGTAAAACTGTAAAGTTACTTTTTAATGTTTATATACCTGAAGCATGAGTACACGCTGATGACGGTAGCGCAATTGAATCTCGACAATAGTGAGGCAGAGAAGCGAGCAGAGTCGAACTGACAACAACGTGCCGCTCATTTTACTGATAAATATTACATATACTGTCGAAATACGAAAGGGTAGATATTACGTGTATTGAATGTTTTAACTGAGCGTTGGTTTAGCCAGTTTATTTTTAGTATTTCAATAGTTTCGAGAACACAAAAGGCATGTGCACCACAAAGGAGACTGATGTGAAATTTCTCTTTATTGCTTTATTAGATTCAATAAAAATGCAATCGTAGGTCATTTGCCATTACTGCAAGATGGTCAAACCCTAGAAGAAAACATTCAAAGATATAGAAAACATTCAAAGAAGAAAAAGATAAGAAGTAAATTTGAACAAGAACATAGTTTCTGATTACATGCATTGCGCAATACTTGTTGCATGCTGAAGAGGACGAGTTTATACATATTCATTGGAATGGGTAAAATAATGCAAGTGGCACTTCCAGTTTACGTAACTTTTTTTGACTGGAAACATGCTGGGTATTCGCTTCTTAGAATATAATATAAAAGAACCAGGAACTTGAAGTGGAATACACCAACCGAGGAGCCCGACAGGATTGATTAGGGACTTTTCATTGCTTGAGATGGCACATGAATGTCATTGCTTTAAAGTAGGTGGCGATAAACTATAGTACACGCGTAAGCCTATATAAAGCTCGTCGTAATTCTGACGATGGATGGGTAAAATCAGAAGTCGTAAATAATTCATGAGGGCATCAAAGAATCACCCAAGACACAAATTTCGCGCTTAGGACTTGCTCGCACTCAGACTCATCATTTCTCTCTCAATATCACTTCGACTCAGAATCTTTAAAATTTCCTCAGCTATACTGACTCATGTGTTAATGGAAGTCCGAGTGAGCCTAAGTGAGCCGCTTCATGAATAAGCTTGCAAGCCTATGATCTTGAAGGGAGCAGCTTGTACGTTTTGAACTTGAGATGAAATGGACGTAACTGTTCGTTTGTTGAAGATCAGGGCTGTATCAAATCAGCTTCTACATGCTGTATGTAAGTAGTCAGTTGAGGTATTCGTGACGGCTGGACTGAAATTTGAGCCTGAGGAGCAAGATTATCTTTTGCAAACTCCATTACCTATGGACTTGTCATCGTAGCAGTGCTGAAGTGGCTTGCTGCCGAGACACCACCTTTGCTACTTTTCGAAGCGTGGGTTGGGCAAGGTGTTGCGATAAAACCGTGGGTACGTCGGCCCGCTCTGGTCCTCGAGTGCTGCAAAGTGAGGGTTTTCGGTCAGTCAGAACATAAGAGGTGTCGCTTTGCAGGAAATAACACAAACATTTGGCGAATTATTAGCCTAGGCGGAAAAAAATCGCTCGTTTGAATAGGTTGCAGCCGCACTCATCACACAGTAAAAAAAAATAATGACGAAGAAAAGGCACATAGAAGCCAGCATCATTGTGGTGCGTGCCGGCACAGCTTTTGGAGAGAGCGAGAAAGGAATCGATTTCTCGAAGAACGCTGTGCTTCGAAGCAGCAGCCAAGAGAGCTAGAACAAGCAAGCAAACAAGCAAGCAGGCGGAGAGCAGCTCAAGAAGAGGTGATCGTCGCAGCTACCGCTTCGTTGCAGCACCCGTCCTGTTTAGCGGTGAACCTGCAACCAGCTACGCGAGCGCACGTCGTTGACGTAGAGCGTCATCAGCACAATTGTCATCTTTTCAGGGAAATTTGAAAAAATTATGGCAAGATCAACAAGCACCCGAAGTTCATTATTAGTACGAAGCTATCAATATTTTCAGCCATCGTAATTCAGTGTATGACATCCACAGTAGTCACAGGTTTGATAATTTAGAGAACTGTTCTTTCGAAACTGATAGCAGAAGTTTCCCGAGCTAAATAGCTCACTTTTACTTTCTACATCACTTTATACCTTTCTTCGTACCCTTATTCATGTCTTTATCGCAAATTGTTTTTTTACCTCTTTTCGACATGCTGCTGCGTAACTCTACTGGACCACCTAAACACAACATATTGTTACTGCATATGTGATCAGAGTATGAGCCTATGGGTAGCGGAGAACAGGCAGATTAGAGAAGAGGACGTTCGCCAAGTGAGATGGGTCTCCGGTGCAAGACACTTTCAAGTCTACCGGTACGCCACAGCGGAATAAACGCATTTCTAACATTAACAGAGTGGTGGAGGTGCCTGGGTACAGCACGTCGACGAACCATGGAGCCACATCTGTTTGAACTACGCCGGAGCCGTCGTCTTGCCGGTGTGCCACCGACAACTGCCATGGCCGAGAGCGATGGTAATGGCTTCTCAACCACGCAAAGGTCAGTGCCGGCTGCACCTCGGTATCACTACATGGAACCCCGCCCGTTCGTGGGAAGAGCAGGAGAAGATGTGAATGCGTGGCTGACACATTACAAAAGAGTGAGCTGGTAGAAATGCTGGGGTCCCACTGACCAAATGGGAAATGTCGCGCTCTTTCTCATGAAAATCGCCCTGATGCGGTACGAAATCAGCAGATTCCTTAACAGCATGGGATCGTTTCGCTCAAGAACTCAAGAAATGATTCGGTGACTGATGCGAAAAAGAAAAGCGCGGACCGAACGTTGGCTCAAAGAGCCCAGACTCATGGAGAAACGTGTACCACCTAGATAGAGGAGGTTCTGATGCTCTGCAATATCATAGACCCATATATGTCTGAAGAGGGCATTGTTGTGTCGTCAGGCGGTGTCCGAACAGCGCGAAAGGGCCCGACGTCTGGACGCGGAACTCGGCGCGCGCCGGCAATTGGCCCACCAAGACGAGCGAGGCAAACGAACTCCACGGAAACCAAACATTGACTGGACTCACTAGCAGCCATTTATTAAAACCACAGCACGACGTGACGCGTACACACGTAATTTGCTACTGACAATCAGGTGTGCCGGTCTGCAACGACATCTATATATAAAGCACACAACCACATGACACACATTGTGCATCCTTCTCAAGAATGACGCCACAACACCACGTCATCGCCCCGTTGAAGGAAACAGTCATCACAATCTCGCGAGTGTCAACACATCCAAAACACACCAACGGCGAGATGAGTGACCTGTCCGCACATCCATGAGTGGCACCACAAAACACATCATTCCCCGATCATGAAAAACAACACGCACTACAATACCACAGTCAATCTCCTAGATGTCCGCACTAAGTCACAAAGTCTTTAAACCACACTGGGCGGTTTGTCTCACGGAGCGGACACGAAGAGGCCACAGAACATCTTGGTGGATTGCGACCATTTTCGTTCGGCTTCGAAAATCACGGCACCCCTTCATTTACCCCCTCCCCGGGATTGATATGATTTTGAACAGTTATCATGGGTTTCCCAACAGGATCCTCTTGACATCCCAACGTTCCCTGTGGAACCACTGATTCAGACTTTAATTAACTGAGAGCTCTGACAATTGAGAGTCTGTTTGAAGATTTGGGGGGAAAGGCAACTAGAGCAGGTGAACTAAGGGGCTGACTATCACAACTGTCTATGTTAGAATAAGGGAAAATAATTCTTTAGGTGGGGTAAGACGAGCCGCCTTCTCAAAGGAACGCTCAGGAATTATTGTTCGCTTGGAAGCGTTCCACTTTATGGCGTCACTTAGCACAAAAGTGAAACGTGCAACTTGAGCCTGCACCCTATGAGGCTTGCTATACCTATAATTTCCTTTCCAATGGAACCTTATTTTAACTATGTCTCCTACATTTATGCGGTGTTTCTGAGTACCATTCCTTTTATCAAAATATTCTTCACGATTTTGCTGTTTTTCCGAGACTCTAATACGAACCTGAGGCAAATAAGCTTGTAACCCCGATAACTGAGGATGTATTCTAAACTTGCTAATGTCTATTTTAGAGAGAGGTTGACGGCCATGCAGCAAAAAAGCTGACGAAAGACCTGTCACCGCATGTGAAGTGACTTTGTATGAACTCAAAATTCTGTGATGCTTTTTGCTGGATCTTTACCTTCCAGTCTAGCTACCTGTAAATGTACCTTCAGAACACTATTCGGGCGTTCTATTTGACCGTTGGACTTGGGATAATAATTTGACGACAACACGTGACGAATGCCTTTTTCCTTAAGATAGTTCTCACACTGCTGCGACACAAACTGTGGACCATTGTCGATAACTAATACCTCTGGTAGCCCTTCGCAGCTAAATGACAAGTCCAACAGCTTAATGACGTCTTCTGCTGATATTTTATTCGTTCCAATAACCTCAGGCCACTTAGAATAGTAATCCACCAATGTTATCAGATACCTTGGAAAAGGCACATCTAATGGGCCGACAATATCAATACCCAATTTTTTCCACGGCCCGTCTGGCCATTCAACTGGCTGCAAAGGCGCCA